CGATCAGAACCTACATAGCGGTAGCAATGCATGTAGTGACAGCGATCCACGTAGTGGCAGCGATCCACGTAGTGACAGCGATCCACGCAGTGATAGCGATGCACGTAGTGGTAGCGATCCACGTAGCTATCGGGGTCCCCGTATTGATCTATGTCGCTATCCGGATCTGGATTGCGGTCACTGTGTTTTCTACACACAATATGTGTATAACACCAGCGATATCATCTTTTTGACCTTTTCACTGAGATATCAGTTCTATGCAAACGTTTTGATAACTCCTCGCGCTTCCATAACGCTACCCCCTGCCACATTAGGGATTATTAAGGGAGAGATAGCCGAAGGCTTGGCTGATATCAATCCTGTTTTACCTACTGGCAATACCTCATGCTGGTCGTTATTGTGATCACTTGCATACTGGATCGATATGGTGGCTTTCGACCTGCCGCACTGGTCTGATTTCATCTGATAAACAAAAGTGTTCCGTCGACCAATTCCAGTCGAATTTCTGCAGATACCAGAAATTTCATGCCCAAGATCGCCTATTGACCTACTTGATTACCAGCCCAAGCATCAAAATTGTATACCAGCGATTCATCCAGAGTGTTGTTGATCTTGGTACGTCCTTCGGCCATGTACTTTCTCTCGCCGATCCCCACACACTCTTGCTTCCGAATGTACCAAAGGTACAAAGGGTCGCATCGTGGCAGAGAGCCATGCGATCATTATAATTAGTTTACGCATTATAAATAAACATGTATGCATATTAATGGGCTACAGAGCCAGATAAATAGTGACAAGCCCTTAACAGTTGTTATTTGTACCACATAACGCATACTTCAATATGCCGTTGAGCAATCTGGTTTAACTGACGATATTTGATAAGAACATACGCGAGATGATCAGTAAAACAACGTCTATATATTGCCTTTGTTTTTTTTCTATACTATACTGCATGTATCGTTGACTTAAAACACCTTTTTTTTGCCTCAAAATAACGATATATCACGCGACACATACTATGTATTGTATGTAATCTGCTACTATTGACTACAACTCTGTACTTGAAGATCAATCAATGATCATTAAAAGGTATCTCAGGGAGTTTCATGCGTTTATTTCTTCCTATCGTAACGCATTGCTACGAATACTATGATGATAAAATAACGTAGATTTGCGATGCTCCGTTTCCATGGGGGTGTCAAGTAACGTCGTCATGTAACTCGTGTACTTAATACAACCAAATGTTATCGAATAGTTTATTAGCAACAAAGTGCTACAATGATCGGGAAGGTAGGAAAGGCAACTTCAACGGCCTCAACACAATGGTTTCACCGTAGTTTCAGCGGTGACAGGCTCAAACTGAGTGCAAGAGAGACGTGCAACCGCCGACCGTTGAAAAGTTACTCTCTGCCAGGAAGAATTCAAGGCTAGATTAAATGTTATGGTCTTTGGCGTTCCATATTGGCTTGATGTCGAGGTATGAAAATTGCTCATGTTGTATTGATTCAACATAGTTAACGAACCTTTGACTAGATAATGGAAAAGAAAAAATACATGCACCTTTGTCGATAGAGTGTGGATCCTCTTCACTTTCTCCAGCGTTACACTCGAGGTATGCGTATGCGCGAACCACTCTTAGGTCGCCTGACCCCGTTTTTTTATCAAACAGCTGCTGCTTACGCATCTTCTTCTCTTTTCCTTTTGTTCGCGCTAGCTGACTCTGACGGTCTTTGTCGTCCTGGTGGGTCTACAAGTCCTTTACAAGCTATCGCCCTTAGCTCTTTGTCTCCCATCGCCTGTGACAAATATGTCGTAGGTTTACTTTCCTTTAAACTCTGCTCCACCTCTTGGCGATGCTTCAAATCGCCATCCACAAGAGCCGAAGGGTCCCACGAAGTCTCCATAAGACTTTTCAGTCCCTCGGCCACTTTCGCATCAAGGAACGTGTACGTATCACAACGTACCGAGCGATAACAGAACGTAAATCTGAGCTCTGCAGCTGCTTCCTTGCTATTACACTTCTTAGCTTTGCCCAATGTGTCCACCAACTTAGCGCCACTGCCATCATCGCTTTTGTTTCCGTCTTTAAACTCGTTCGCGTAAATAAATCGATGATGCAAGTTGTCTTCTTCTTGCATGTTCATATAGATACAAATCACATCACAAGCACTCATCTTGCTCAACGGGTTGCCGGGATCGCTGGCAGATTTTTCAGTGGTCTTTGTAGCTTTTTCTCCAAAAACAAATGAAGGATATAGTTTTGTCGTTGCCGACATCGGGAATTTGCTATCGTGAGGAGAACAGTTCTTCACTTGAATTAAGATCAGCGAAACCTTAACGTCCATCTCATCGTCCGATTTCATCTCCGATTCAAACGCTGCCACTTCGTCTTCTTTTTTCCAAAATACTGGAATCAACAAGTCGGCTCCTTTCTGGTTACGGGGAAATATTCCTGCAGCCCGACGCCCAAGTAAATACCACAGAGTTTCCGCCGTCGGCTCCAGCTGCAGCTGCACAAAGTGCGTAAATCCCATTTTCCACCCCTTCCACTTCGATCGCCAAGTTTGAAAAGCGTTCATCGTATTGTCACTTGCTGTATTCATTCGCCGCATAAATACTGGCATCTCTTCTGCACCAAGCACTTTCAAGAAATCATGGACAGCTATAAATTGTCCGGCATAATAGCTATATCCTTCTACGCACTCGTCCATGGCGAGAAGCAGCACAATACGTGCCACAACCTCACCGATCGCGCCGGTGTCAAGAGCTTCATTCAGAATTAATTTCTTTAGCTGGGGCAGGATAAACTGTGATAAGGTATCACTTTGCCCATACCATACTTTCCTCGCACCCAAGGAGAGTACAGGATCCGATGCGTAGCTGCTCACGTAGCCTTCTTTCTCGTAATTTACATACGCAAGAATCGCCATAAAGTCGGAGACGGCTCGAGACGCAAACAAAGATGTTGAGTACGGACGCAAACCCACTCGACAAAGCAAGGACGCGATGCCAAACATGTTCACCTCCTTGTAATTGCCTGTGGCGGGAACGTTTCCGACCAGCAGCTTGTTTGCTGCAAGATTGACCACGGAAGCTTGGCTTTGTGAAACCTTCATGAAAGTGCTGTACCATAGTGGTCGACCCATTCGGAGCAACGCGTTCCAAGCATCCTGCTCGCTCCCGGTCACAGCGTCTTTGTAAGCGGATATGTCAGCATTCATCTTTTTCTTGCTGTCCTTGCTTGTATCGACCGCTACATTTTCCCTCTTCGTTTCTTCCACGTCCAACATTTCATCATCCGCCATCTCATCAGCAGCCTCCATGGATTCGTCCGCTATGTCCACTACCGTTTTGTCAGTGTCACGTATCTTTTCGACTTGGTCAGCTTGCTCGCCGCCGCAATATTGTTGCCAAAATATATCCATCGTATGCGTCAGCACAAAGGGCGGAAATGACGCTAATTTCTTCGCGTCGATACGCCGAGAAGACGGATCACACGACAACGGCGGCGTAAGATCAGATATTTTTGAGTTTGTATCTACCAGCACTCCAAAAACACCCCCCTCCGTGGAAAAGTTGCTTTGGAGAGCATGTCGCAACATGCGAAAGTGGCTAATGCTGTTCTTTTTCTCAGCAAGTAGAGATCTTGCTTCGTCAATCACCACGATCACTATTTTGTCACTCGAACTGTTTACGGGTGTCAGCAGCTTTTCGTGTGGTATTTCTTTCTCAGTGTTCTCCAGCTTATTTATCAAATCAGTTTCTGCAGCAGTACTTGTAAAAAGTTTCAACCATTCGTCTTGGACGGTCCCCCAATTGTCGAATGCATGCTTGAAAATCGCTTTTAGTCGAGTAGCAATGATTTCCTCGGTGCACGAAGATGGAAACAGCCACTTTCGAAGTTTCTTCGTCGCCTCGGGATACCCAGTCGACTTATTTTTACGCGCACAAACGTAGAAAACTTTTTGCTTTGAGTCTGGCTTCCGTGCCATGCGCGCAAGCTCAAAAAGCATCCGACTCTTGCCAAACCCAGAGCTTTGGACAACCGCAACATATGGTTCTTTGTATACCCCGGGATCAGTACAATGAATCCTCCAGCACCTTTCGACGTACTTTTCGAATTCAAAGCTGGCATTGCCAATGTACTTAGTGTTTGTGAAAGCCTCCCCAAATAGTTTCATTTCTTCTGGCGTCTTCTTCTGAACAAGAGACTTTTTCGGGACGTATCTCTTAATGACATCATCAGTCGTCTCCTTTGCGACAGCAGATGCGACTTCATTATCTACGCCATATCTATGTCGAATCGACTTCTTAAGTACTCTATATTGCAACCTCTTATCGAACTCATTCGTGTCGGCGTCAACAGAATCCATTATGCCGTATGCATCCATGCGATATTTTTTATGTATCTCTCTTATATTGTCCTTGTTCACCTTCTCTGTCACGAGTTCATAAACGCGGGTGTTCACAAATTCGGCTATTTCTTCAAAATGAACCATCTGGTCCTGCAATAGACACAATACACAACATTGTCAATACGAGGGAAGAACGATCAAGCAGCAGCGTAGGTTCAGTATGAGGGTGGTATACCTGTAGCGATGTCTTGTCTGCGCTCTCGACGTGTTCCGTGTAAAGGTCGTCCATTGTGATCAAAGGGAAGAAGAATTGTGAGCGATACAGGTCACGTGAACGTTATTTCGAATCAGGACCTTTCAATCATTTTAATCACAGAGACTATCATTCACTAACGGTTAAGCCTGGTTTGGGTAGTTATTGATACATAAAACGTTATTATCAAGTCTAAGGAGTAAAAAATATGATACTAATGCTACATAAAGCGTCTCTTTCGTATCGATCTAATCGTGTCTTGCTATATCATTGGCACCAATTGTTTCTTGTATTTCTTGCACTATTAATAATACTGCACAAGGAGTTATTTTGTATCTTGTTCGATCCATGAAGTTCATGAGAAGAGTACAGGTTGTAAAGTAGTCGAACGAATGTTTGCAGATGGTTATGGTCCTTGGGGACATCGTGGACGTTCTTGTATTAAAATTGATGTAAATCTACGTTCTTTAAAGGATCATGAAGTGCAGAATGCTATTACTGTACGCAAACTAGGAGATTACTTTGATTTTGGAGTCGTAATAGCGTCTTACTCGACAGAGACGGCACTAATTGCGGGTTTTGACGATCGTACAGCTTGTAGCTGGAATTATTCCAACAAACACAATGTAGAGGGTGTACTACAGGGCAATTTCTATACAATAGCGAGTAATCAAATGTTACAAGTGAATGCAACGTTTTACCCACGAGATCATGGATTGCAGACGGTATTAGTGATGACTTGTTGGAAGCAAAAGAATGCAGCATTTGGATATCTTGTTAGTGCCGATGAATTTGTGACATATCCAATGATGGATCCACTGTTACATTTGGATGCACCGATTGGTTTTCAAAATCCATACGGATATTTACCGGGATTATTGTATGGACTGTTCCCGTTCAAGTAAGTGCTTATTCTGTTGAAGCGGTAGATCATGATGATGACTAATTTATCTGGTGATGATGATTGATTATATGTGGTGATGATATTATTATTGTAGTGGCGTTTTATCACTCATGTATATTGTATTGGGAATATACTTTCTGGCTTTGATTACTCGCCATCGTCAGAGGGTTGTCGCGGTGCACTATTTCTTGCTTGTGGTGCTGCTACTTGCAACTAGTACGATGGTGGAACATACTTTTGTGAGCATTACTAAGCTGTCAAATTTTCGTGATGTATGCAGGTGAATCGGTAGCATGGTTTGTCACGTACAAGTTGCTGAATGATTCAGGTGTACCAGCATGTTGCCCCTACCCGGACTCGGTGTTGTTTTCCACGTTTATAAAGGTTTTGGCGGGTATGACTGCACGCATTGCTACCACGTTAGTTAGTCTTGGCTACGGGACTTCCCGAATGCAGATTTCCTGGCCCGAGGTTTTTGTGGTTTCTGGATTGGGTATATGCTACTTTGTCTCAGTGGGGGCGTTGGAGGTAAGCCATATTGCTAATCAGTCTGACGGTGATGCTCGACCTCCTGCTATCTGAGAAGCTCTTGTCATTGTGACCAACGCGTGCTTTGGAGGATGGATTTTTGTGTCCCTCGATCTTACCAATTTCTTTCTGATGCGTTTTTCATTCCATGACTGATTGACTGAAGGATTAACTGGTTGATTATCTGACTGAGTAGATCTTTTAGTGACTGTAAATAGCACACACAATCTCTCTTTCGTATTAATGCATTTGAATACCTTAGCGATTTTCTCTTGAAGCTCAGCTTTTGGTACATTAGGACTGTAACGGGGTTACACAAAGGTGTGTATTTTACATACACCTGCCACACCAAGGTGGTGTGGCTGTACCTTGGGTACAAAAGTAGGTGATGTAACGTACCTAAGGTACGAAGGGTCACATCGTGGCAGAGAGCCACGTGGTCACTATACTTAGTTAAGTATAGTGACTAATATGTTTGCATATTAATCGGCTACAGAGCCAGTCAATAGTGACTAGCACTAAGTATAGAGTAGATGCTGTATATATTTTAGTGTTAGAAGATAAACATAAATAAATCAGTTTCAAACCTGCTCTGTATAGCACTAGTTGCTAGAGCGTTCTATTCCGTATAGGAATTGTATCTTTGATACTAGTCTCTCTGAGACTCGGTTGTTGATACCGATAGGCACAAGCTTACGAGCTAGCCTAGGAGGGTTAAGCAGCCTAAGACGTAGAAGTTCTCTAAGCTTGTCTTCCTCTGCACATGGTGCATAAGTAGCTTTGCTACAGTAGCTCGGCTACACCTGGTAGCACTTTTAGTCAATACCGCACCTGGGCTTGCGACTACTTTTCTGTGATAAGTTTTAGACATTGAAGAGATGTCCGCGGTGTTAAGATTAGGTGGTGCGATATTCATATGCATTTAAGGACGTCACTGCTCCAACCATTGCCGGAACAGTATAGAAGCACATGTGGTGGAGTGGGCTCTCACAAATGCGTAATGAGACTTGAAGCCACTCACTGTGCCGGAGAACCGACAGACGGAGGTACCCCTATGCCGCGTATGAACCTTCTCTCACCTTGTGTACCCGTCGGCTGGTGGGTTGCACTTGTTGGGACAACAATTGACGCAGCACTGACCAAAGCGGTCTTGGCCAGTTTAGTGCCGTGGTAAGACAATAGGTTATGAGCCTAGAATGACGCGAGTTCAATTACCCCCCGGGTGCCAAAAGTCGATGTCTCGATGGAAGCCGACCAGAAGAATCAGAAAGAAGTGCCTGGGTGTCACTTGAGGGATGTGTTGGAATAACAATTGACACAGCAGTGACTAAAGTGGTCTTGACCATTTTAGTGCAGTGGTAAGACAATTGCACTCTTCGAAATACTTGGTGAAGTTGCGATGTCGGCCTGAAAATAGGTTGTTGACCTTGGGGTTGGTCAACTTGAGAGGACGAGATCTACCGATAAGAATGGACATTTGGAGACGATAGTCGACCCTGGGCTACCTAGGTCTACCGATGTGGAAGCGGGGTTGACCTCGAGGGACCGGGGTCGACCTTATGGAATTGAGGTATACCTTGAGAGACCGCGATCTTCCGATTTGGAACTGCGGTCCACTCCTCTCAGTACTGGTTAGCCGGTTCACCGGTAGTGATTGTTGACCGCGAATCTTTTTGATCCAACGTTCGCGTCTCTTCTGTGGTCCCCTCTCTCTCTGATCCACAGGTCCTTGAACTCTCCACATTTTTAAAAGCAAATCACTATGGTATTTATTTAAGGGTTTAAGCCTTTGTCTTCGGTACCACCTTTGCTCGAACGGTGGGATGCGTCAAAGATCAGATGGTCACATCAACCTTAAAGTACAGCCATACCACAATGGTGTGGCAGGTGTGTACGTAAAACACACACCTTTTGTGTACACCTATGAGCAAAATGACAATAAAGGCGCATATACGTGGTATTGTTAGTTGATTACGAAAAGCTTGGTGACTTTCCGGGTGTGGTGTATCATAATTTGCAGAAGTCGCAGTGCAGAGGATGGGAGGTGCCAGAAGTCCAAGCTTCGTGTGACCTTGCAACTATTACGGTATGTCGCAAAATTATACTCACACGAGTGTGCTATGCTGTCGGCATTTGAAAAATCAGCGATGGTGGCTTCCGTCATGCCAAATGATCGTGAACACAATATTTGCTAGCTACGTATTGTACTAAGGTTTATACCTAGCTATAGTTTAGGAATAAGCCAAAAAATGTCTATATGTGTTAGCCCAATAATTCAATTGTTAGGAATGATGGCAATCGTGCTGTGGCATATGCCTTGCACAACCACTTACTTCGACATGTCCAGCAACACAGTTTCTGTATATTTCAACTCGTCAGTATGTGACACACTATTATTTACTTGATTCATTGATTTTACAAGCCATTCTTACGTAATTTCTTGTATCTGTTATATCTATATATTTGCATGTATTTACTCTTGTTTGTGCTCCAAGCTAAGCTTATAACCTTCATGACAAACCGGAGAAGCTACAAAGAGAAGATAGAACTGATTGCGTCCTCCGATGACGGCAAGACAATTTCATGAATTTTTGCGAAGACCACGTCCAGCCAATTACCCCTCTTGCAAAACTCAATCGGCAGCAATAATCATAGCGTAAGTTGGCGTCTTGATCGTATATGTATTTATGGTATCGAGTATTAGCGTCCTCATTAAACCAAGCTTTTGAGAAGCGACAGAAGCGTCTCAGTGCAGGCGTCGCTGTTATAGATTCCAGTATTTACGTATGGGCGTGAACGTGACATCAGATTTAAGAATCCTGTTGATGTCACATTATATGATGTGGTTAATCAAGGTGGTGGGTGGGCTCAAAAGCATGAGCGACATTACGGAAGAGAAAATAAAGCCAAAGTCGGTTAGATAGAGCGTGCAGTCTCTCTTCCAGTGGCATATAGTCTAAGAGCACCCAATCAGGGGCGGCAGCCAATCCAGTTGCAGTCGTTGTCAGTATAAACTCGATGAAGCGGTGTTCCACGGAGATAGATGGTGGCCAGGACGAGCTTGAATGACAGTACGTGCGACATGGTCGGTCTGGTGCTAAAAAAATAACTCTTGGCTTTCATTGGATTGGTCTGCGGCCTTTTCTCGATTGACAAGGCTTGCAAATGCAGTTAGGGACGATCCTAAAGCAGACGATGACTAATCTTCTCCCATACCAACGTCACATATTTTCATTTTCTCTTTCAAGTCCAACGTGATCATTTTGTGTGATCATTCTAACACATCGACTGTTAATATCCTGGAACGTCCAATCGTGAATCACTACGTCGCCAATGGTCTCCCAACGTTTCTCGCCTCCCTACTTCTTGCTCTTTCCCTTCCTTTGGTCCGTTACGACGGCTCTTGTTTCAAGCCGAACGTACATCGGTCCTACCTCAGCTCCTTTGCAGTCCAAACTTATGTCTGAGACAGCGAGTGAAGTAGATGGCAACCTTAGAATGCTGGAAATCCAACAGCTTCAGCGTATTTACTGTCGAGGTGAGTTACTGCATGAGGTGCAGATGCAAAAGCTCTTCTCCGACAGTAAACACTTTGTAGATATGCCGATTAAAGTCAATTCTTCAGTAAACGAAGTTCTGACCAAGTTCCAAAGGCTCAAAACAATGTTTGGAAACGCAACAAACGGAGAGGAATGGAAAACTCAACTTGCTACGTTTGTAGACCAACACTTTGACCCACCAGGTGCAGAGTTGATACCTATCACCCCTCCAGATTATCAAGAGAAAGAAATGCCATCGCAAATTGCAGAGATTGGAAATAAAAGTCTGCGTGGTTGGGCTATGGAGCTACACAAGCTGTGGAAATTGTTAGCTCGCGTCCCTGCCTCTGTCTCAGCAAATCAAGTATCTAGGAGTTCGTTTCTCCGCTCACTTCCAATTGATGCAGCATCAAATATGTCACTGAGCGCACTAGCACGTCAGTTCAATGGAGACAACATTCTTGTTGTACCTGGTGGCCGTTTTCGTGAGAGTTACTACTGGGATTCGTACTGGATTGTTCAGGGACTACTGGTGAGCGGTTTGCATCAAACAGCTCGCGGCGTCGTGAACCACTTGCTGGAATATGTCGCTGAATTTGGGTTTGTTCCCAATGGAGGACGCATCTATTATCTTACACGTTCGCAGCCGCCAATGCTCTCGGATATGGTACGACTCGTTGCAAAGCTTGACAGGCGAAATGCTTCCGATGGAGATGTCAGCGCCTGGGATCTTCCGTACTTGCGTGGTGCAGTGCCTTTGCTTGAGCGCGAATACGATTTTTGGATGCAACGCGGAGATCATGGTCATGCAGTAGAGATACCCGGATCCGACTCTTCACAATCTGCACGCGAGATGTTTGTGCTCAACCGATACGAAGCGCATGCAGATGAACCGCGACCCGAATCGTACCGTGAGGATGTTATTACAGCGTCTACGGTTATTCTCGGCAAAAATGCTACGGTGAACAAAGCTTCCATCTACAATGAAATCATCGCGGCAGCAGAAAGCGGTTGGGACTTTAGTAGTCGATGGTTCGGCGACTATTCTACACTCAAAACGATTCAGACCTCCCGAGTGATTCCTGTGGAGCTGAATTCAATTCTACACCGAGTGGAGCTTAACCTTGCAAAGTTTCATGAGATACTGGGAAACTCTGTTGCTTCGGCACGATTTCTTGATGCAGCAAAAGCTCGAATGACGGCAATGGACGCTGTGCTGTGGAGCGAGTCGGAGAAATGCTGGAAGGACTATTTGCTGGACTCCCGCGAGCAATCCAAGGTGGTGTCCGTGTCCAATTACTCGCCGCTGTGGGGAGGAGTGTTTGATTCATCCGACTCAGCGCGTTTAAACAAGATTGTGGCGTCTCTGGAAAAGTCTGGGCTCTTGCAGAAAGGTGGTGTCCAAACCACGACTTCTGTAACAGGCCAGCAATGGGATGCGCCTAATGCGTGGCCGCCAATGCAGGATATCATCATTGAAGGTCTGCTGGCAGCAGGCACTGTAAAAGCGCGCACACTTGCAAAGCACCTCGTGAAGACGTGGGTCAAGGCTGGTTTTGTGGCATGGCAAAAAACTGGTCTTATGTTTGAGAAGTACAATGCCCATCAACTGGGTGGAGTCGGTGACGGTGGCGAGTACAAGACGCAATTCGGTTTTGGTTGGTCTAATGGTGTAATTCTTACTTTCCTCACCAAGTACCTGGACCAACTAAATGAAGCCGATGAGACGGTTGGCTCTAGTATCACCCAACGTGGTGCTGCAATGTGCTAATACGAGTGGAAGTTTGATAAGTGAGATCACGTGCTGCTACGACTTGACAGAAAAGTGCATAAGTTGGTGTCAAACAAAAAACCTTTTATGCTGGCACTGCTCTCTAGTCTCTCAGCCTCCAACTATGGTTCTGGTAGTTAGGTCTAACTCGCTGGCCAGATCACCTCTTGCAGTTCATAACTGCATAATGAACTTGTGCGTTAACGTAAGAAGACACTGCTAGGAGCTTTCTAACTCAAACATTTGTATATCCGCTGCAGTCGGTCTTTTTACAACGCTATTATACTGTTCATCTACTAGAGTTGCAAGCCTCGTTTTCTATTGTATCTCACGCCGTTTTCCTCCACATATTGCACGCATATTCAACGCTTCAATCAGCTTCCTTCCTGCTTCTGCTTCACAAAGATGCAACGCACTGTAGCATAGACATACAGACGCAATATCATCCACCTTTCTCCAACACATTGTCAATGTAAGTTTCTCAATGAACTGCATCATTATCTTCCGTAAAATACTCGCACGCTTTCATCTCCAACCCACTCGCGCCTTCAGATCATAATTGGCAATCAACGCCAACTTTACAGTCGTTTCCGAGCGCCAAGACATTGATTGGAAGAGGTTCCTCCATTACGCATTAGGCGGCTCTGGTCGTGCTACTTTACTTCATTGAGGCAACTTTGCGCCATCGCACTACTTTCGACAACGAATGGGCGAAAATAAGGTATCGCACATAAATGAGAGTACAATCTGTAAGCTATTTTTGCACTGTTGCATCAAAATCAGTGTTGAGTACGATACAAGCCTTTTGTGTTGTATATGGATAGAAAAAACGGCTATTCAAACAAGTAATTACTTGCTTGAGAAATAAACCAGGCCAGAGTAGGCTGTCTGTAGCCTTTTACAGAACATAATCATTTATGATGTATCGTAGTTTAGAAAAAGTCCAGCAGGTCGGAGGGCCGGTGGTTTGTATTGGTAGGACAATGAAAAAAAGAAGCACGATAGACGACAGTCCATAATCCTTTGAAAGCATTCATCAACAGCATCATTCATTCAGGAGATCAACCGGAAGATAGAGAAAAAAGAGCAAGTATACTTCAAAGTATACACTTACCTCCCTATCTTTACTTGCTACAATAAAAAACCTCAAAACTTTTTAGCATTTTTATAAATTTGTGATTTTCCCCCAACGTGTCTCGTTTATTAAACTCTCACACCTCGCGTAATACCTACACCACACCAATGCATTTAAACCGACATCGTCATCTTAATTGCACCATGCGGGTGATAATTCCGCACTTCGAAATCTTCAAATGTAAAGTCGTCAATGCTTGCAATCTTCTCAGGATTTACGTGAAGGGTCGGGAACGGACGCGGTGTACGCGTCAGCTGTTTTATCAGTGGCTCTTCATGATTCAAATATATATGCGCATCACCGATGACATGAATGAACTCGCCAGGTTTTAGTCCGACCACCTGAGCTACTAAACGCGTTAGCAGCGCGTAGCTGGCAATGTTAAATGGCACACCGAATCCCATATCGGCCGAGCGCTGATACATCTGGCATGACAGCTCACCATTTGCCACGTAAAATTGGCAAAACATGTGTAGCGCCATCTCATTGAGATCAGCTGGATTCCAAGCTGACAGCACAATCCGGCGGTCACTGGGGTTCGTACGGAGCTTGTGGATTACCTCGGCAAGCTGATCGACGCCTTGACCGGTATAGTCGGCATGCATGTCCGTGTACTTAGCACCAAAATGACGCCATTGAAAACCATATACTGGTCCAAGATCTCCCACTTCACGTGACTGCAGTCCTCTACTGTCCAAGTATTCACGCGATCCATTGCCGTCCCAAATGTGAATATCCTTCTGCTGAAGCGCGTGAGCATTCGTATTTCCACTAATAAACCACAGCAACTCTTCGGCCACACCTCGCCAAAATACCCTCTTTGTCGTTAGCAGTGGAAAGACATTGCTCCTTAGACTGAATCTCATTTGCGCTCCAAACACTGACAGCGTCCCGGTGCCAGTTCGGTCATCACGCTTTGCTCCTTGCGTCAGAATTGTTCGAATCAGATTTAAATACTGCATCTCCTCATGTGGCGTCGTTTTATCCACCAACACTGTGGTCTCGACATCCTCCAATTCTTTATTTTTTCGCTCCCATTCCATGAATTGAAACTTTACACCATTTTCTTTGAGTATCTCTGATTCCGCAACTACTCTATAACTCTGCATCAATTGTTCTAAAGGGAAAAAAAGCATCACACTCAAACTGACCCTTCACCTTTGTCAAGTACACTTTATTACAACCTCGATACGCCAACGCCTCTGCGTACACGGCGCTTCCTCCAATGACAAACACCTGATCCACTTTCGATCCTTGTTGTTGCACGAGCTCTAGTGCCTCGTAGAAACTCGCGGCAACGCCCACATTATTCGAAACACTCTCTTTATAGCTAGTATTGCGTGTCAATACTACGCTATAGCGTTTAGGCAGAGGTCGTACTTTAGCCGGTAGTGATTCCCACGTCTTGCGCCCCATAATTACCGCATGCTACACCGAAGAGTCACATGTTGACGTTGTCAGCTCACGAAAATGTTTCATGTCAGTTGGTAAATACCATGGGATCTGCTGATGTAAACCAATGCCACCAGTTACTTCTAACGCTGCGACCACAATTTGAACCGAACGCTCCCTCATTTGTTTATAATCTGTTTGATACCTTAACAGTTGTTGTTTGTACCACATAACGCATACTTCAATATGCCGTTGAGCAATCTGGTTTAACTGACGATATTTGATAAGAACATACGCGAGATGATCAGTAAAACAACGTCTATATATTGCCTTTGTTTTTTTCTATACTATACTGCATGTATCGTTGACTTAAAACACCTTTTTTTGCCTCAAAATAACGATATATCACGCGACACATACTATGTATTGTATGTAATCTGCTACTATTGACTACAACTCTGTACTTGAAGATCAATCAATGATCATTAAAAGGTATCTCAGGGAGTTTCATGCGTTTATTTCTTCCTATCGTAACGCATTGCTACGAATACTATGATGATAAAATAACGTAGATTTGCGATGCTCCGTTTCCGTGGGGGTGTCAAGTAACGTCGTCATGTAACTCGTGTACTTAATACAACCAAATGTTATCGAATAGTTTATTAGCAACAAAGTGCTACAATGATCGGGAAGGTAGGAAAGGCAACTTCAACGGCCTCAACACAAATGGTTTCACCGTAGTTTCAGCGGTGACAGGCTCAAACTGAGTGCAAGAGAGACGTGCAACCGCCGACCGTTGAAAAGTTACTCTCTGCCAGGAAGAATTCAAGGCTAGATTAAATGTTATGGTCTTTGGCGTTCCATATTGGCTCGATGTCGAGGTATAAAAATTGCTCATGTTGTATTGATTCAACATAGTTAACGAACCTTTGACTAGATAATGGAAAAGAAAAAATACATGCACCTTTGTCGATAGAGTGTGGATCCTCTTCACTTTCTCCAGCGTTACACTCGAGGTATGCGTATGCGCGAACCACTCTTAGGTCGCCTGACCCCGTTTTTTATCAAACAGCTGCTGCTTACGCATCTTCTTCTCTTTTCCTTTTGTTCGCGCTAGCTGACTCTGACGGTCTTTGTCGTCCTGGTGGGTCTACAAGTCCTTTACAAGCTATCGCCCTTAGCTCTTTGTCTCCCATCGCCTGTGACAAATATGTCGTAGGTTTACTTTCCTTTAAACTCTGCTCCACCTCTTGGCGATGCTTCAAATCGCCATCCACAAGAGCCGAAGGGTCCCACGAAGTCTCCATAAGACTTTTCAGTCCCTCGGCCACTTTCGCATCAAGGAACGTGTACGTATCACAACGTACCGAGCGATAACAGAACGTAAATCTGAGCTCTGCAGCTGCTTCCTTGCTATTACACTTCTTAGCTTTGCCCAATGTGTCCACCAACTTAGCGCCACTGCCATCATCGCTTTTGTTTCCGTCTTTAAACTCGTTCGCGTAAATAAATCGATGATGCAAGTTGTCTTCTTCTTGCATGTTCATATAGATACAAATCACATCACAAGCACTCATCTTGCTCAACGGGTTGCCGGGATCGCTGGCAGATTTTTCAGTGGTCTTTGTAGCTTTTTCTCCAAAAACAAATGAAGGATATAGTTTTGTCGTTGCCGACATCGGGAATTTGCTATCGTGAGGAGAACAGTTCTTCACTTGAATTAAGATCAGCGAAACCTTAACGTCCATCTCATCGTCCGATTTCATCTCCGATTCAAACGCTGCCACTTCGTCTTCTTTTTTCCAAAATACTGGAATCAACAAGTCGGCTCCTTTCTGGTTACGGGGAAATATTCCTGCAGCCCGACGCCCAAGTAAATACCACAGAGTTTCCGCCGTCGGCTCCAGCTGCAGCTGCACAAAGTGCGTAAATCCCATTTTCCACCCCTTCCACTTCGATCGCCAAGTTTGAAAAGCGTTCATCGTATTGTCACTTGCTGTATTCATTCGCCGCATAAATACTGGCATCTCTTCTGCACCAAGCACTTTCAAGAAATCATGGACAGCTATAAATTGTCCGGCATAATAGCTATATCCTTCTACGCACTCGTCCATGGCGAGAAGCAGCACAATACGTGCCACAACCTCACCGATCGCGCCGGTGTCAAGAGCTTCATTCAGAATTAATTTCTTTAGCTGGGGCAGGATAAACTGTGATAAGGTATCACTTTGCCCATACCATACTTTCCTCGCACCCAAGGAGAGTACAGGATCCGATGCGTAGCTGCTCACGTAGCCTTCTTTCTCGTAATTTACATACGCAAGAATCGCCATAAAGTCGGAGACGGCTCGAGACGCAAACAAAGATGTTGAGTACGGACGCAAACCCACTCGACAAAGCAAGGACGCGATGCCAAACATGTTCACCTCCTTGTAATTGCCTGTGGCGGGAACGTTTCCGACCAGCAGCTTGT